GGCTGATGGTTTTTGGCACGGCCGGGACGGTCGACTCGCTCTGCCATCTGAACGCCTGGGGACGCTGTTCAATACCCATACATGCCCTACAGGTACTTAATCACACTAATTATATCGAGTAACTCTAATATTGTTCATGCAAACTCAGAGAATAAGGCATCAAGGCACTCAAAGCCATTTATTTTCATTGCCGAAGCGAAACCTTTGGCTGCATTGTGTCTGAAATGATATTTTTGCTCTGGTGTGATTTCAGGCCGGCCTGAAGAACCACCAGCTGGATACGGTTGATTTCTTTCTGAAGAGTAAGGAGAACATCCTGAGCCCCGCGTCTGGGTTTGTTCTGCCCGTCTCGACCCAAAGCCATCTGAGGAGTAAGACAGCTTTAATGAGATCCTCTGATCACTAACGACCTTCTCCAGCCGCGGCTTAATTCAAAGTTCTTAAGAAGTGTCCTGTCTGATCTTCTGGGTCATTAATTAAAGGGCAGAAGAAACTGTGTAAATGTGAGGCTGGAGAGCGTCGTTAATGTGCCTCTATTTTAGCTCTTGACATCATTGGTTGGGTGTCATAAATTGCATCCGAGTTACAATGAAATATAAATAAACATATTATAAATATAAAACAAAATATATATATTCAAATTTTATATTTTACATAAAATCTATATATACTTAAAGTTATATAAATATTATAATTGTCTAAAATTATAGTTACTTAATTTTCTAAAGATATATAGTACCTTTGTTTATACTTAATTGACTATCACTGTATATGTATATATATATACAGATTTTAAATATACTTTATTAACTGACAATTTTTAAAAAGTATTATTTAAACTGTTTATGTATAAATGTCTACACACAAAAAATATATATGTAAACATATGCAAACATTTCAAAGTATGCATAACTTATCATTATTGATTGACTATATTTAATATATTTTTTATATATTTTTTTTATTTTAAAAACATTTGAAAATATACTTTACTATGTTTAATTGAATATATTTGTAAATGTCTTTATGTAACTATATGTATAATTATTCATTAGGTATATAATTGTAAGAAAAAAAAAGTATAAAAAATTTATAATTGTAAAAAAAAATATGCATTTTTGTAAAATTATATATTTTTTGTAAAAACTGTATAAAAAATAAAATAAAATTCACACAATGATAAGTACATACGGGTAATTAATTTACCTGTATGTATTTATTTGTGTGTGAATTGTTTTTTGCATTATAGTAACAAGAATTTGAGTCAAATATGCAAATAATTGAGTCAAATAATTTCTTCTTGTTATTTTGATTATGGGGTGTTCTTGGCAGATTTGATGACGTTCATCTCATTAGTGTTTGTTGTGAGCTCCTGCTCTTCATCACATCAGAAGACACACAGTCTGAGCCAGATGAAAGACGCTCATGTTTAAACAGCGCAAACTAATCAGAAAACTGGAGACGATTTCATCTACGCAGCCATGTGTTCAGGAGGAATGAGGCAGTTATAGAGGCAGCTGCTAGTAATGTGATTGAGATGTCGTATTAATCATTGGTGAAGATGAAGAGAGAAACGAACCAGCTGATTCAGGATAAAGAGATCAATTAGATGTCAGAGGGAGATTTATGCTCATATTGGATGGGTGTTGGATGTACAGTATTATTTAGAGGACATGCTGGGAATGACTGTACAGTGTGTGTTTAGCTGTAATTTCAATGTGTGTGTGTATGTGTATATATATATATGTATATACACACACACACATATATATACAGAGCTGGGTAGTAACTGATTACATGTAATCTGGATTATGTAATCAGATTCCAAAAATAAAGTATATTTATATATATGTATATATATATTTATATAAACACAATGCATATGTAGAGAGAGAGAGAATGGCTTAAGTGATACTTTAAGTCATAATTTAGGGGCAGATTTATAGTTTGGTTTGAGGATAGTCTGTAAATGTAAATCTCAATATAAAAACAATTGCAGTCAATGGAAAATGGCAGAAAATCAAACAATAAAAGTTTGCAATAATTATTTTTTTAAATGTTTTTGGAAGAAGTCTCTTCTGCTCACCGTGGCTGCATGTATTTGATTAAAAATGCAGAAAAAAATGTAATATTGTGAAATATTATTACAATTTAAAATGCAATTTCAATTTATACAATTTATTTCTGTGATGCGCAGCGGAATTTTCAGCATCATTCCTCCAGTCTTCAGTGGCACATGATCTTCAGAAATCATTCTAATATTCTGCTTTTCTGCTCAAGAAACATTTCTTAAAAATAAACAAATACTTTTATTCAGCACGGATACATTAAATTGATCAAAAGTGACAGTAAAGACATTTATAATGTTATAAAAGATTTCAAATAAATGCTGTTCTTTTGAACTTTCTATTCATCAAAGAATCCTGAAAAATAAAATACATCACGGTGTCCACAACAATATGAAGCAGCACAGCTGTTTTCAACATTGATAATAATCAGAAATGTGTCTTGAGCTGCAAATCAGCATATTAGAATGATTTCTGAAGATCATGTGACACTGAAGACTGGAGTAATGATGCTGAAAATTCAGGAATAAATTACATTTTAACATATATTCACATAGAAAACAATTATTTTAAGTTGGAATAATATTTCACAATTTTTACTGTATTTTTGATCAAATAAATGCAGCCTTGTTGCGCAGAAGAGGCTTCTTTCAAAAGCATTTAAAAAGTCATATTGATTCCAGTCTGTTGTGTGTTTCAGATGTGCAGGCTCTGTGTCCGGCTCTGGATCTGCTGCGTTCTGCCATTCACGACACACACACTGAAGCTCAGAGCCAACAGTTCTGCGATCAGCTGCTGAGCATCACGCTCACCTTCCTCAACACGCAAACCAAAGTCCTCCTCACCAGCACACACGGTAAAACACACAAACACTGCTTTCAATGTGTAGTAGGGCTGCCCTCGACTAAGGATTTTTCTGGTCGACTAGTAGTCGTTCATTTGAAGCATTAGTCGACTAATTGCACATTTATTAATAAACCATTTAAATCATTATAATGAGTCTTTAATTGCATACATAGCCTATAAGCGCTCAAGCGCACGGCAGAAGTAATGATTATGAATGTGTCAGGGAAAAACACTAAATTATAAACTAGTGCTTTCTTTGTTTTCGGTTTAAGAGATCATCTCCGCAGTAGTGATGCACCTGTATGCTTGTTGCACACGGATTACATAATCTGAGAATATTTGTTTTCCATTTGAAAGTAGACATTTCGCTCTCTATAGATATGTTTTTATATATCTGTAAGGCAAGCATACATGGAGTTTCGGAGTTTCTCGCTCAAGTTCACAGAGACCGAGACGGCAGAAAGTGCATTTTGCTTTCATTATTTTACAAAAGCGCAACATTTTGTTGTTATTGTGAGTGCACACAAATAAACGTAGAGTCTTTACAGATTCGATAGATGAATTACTCCTGTCTGTATGACCCAAAATGAGGGATTATTTTAACAGTAAGTGAGCGCACTGGCACCTCCATCTGTCCTGCAGCGAGCTACTGTTCAGCTCCACTCCGCACAGACGCTTGAATAGCACACATTTCTGGTTAACATTAGATTGAGCGGCCATATAAAGTTGCTAATACTTACATATTTCGGATTATAAGCCATATTTGAGGTCGATGAATGATTGGATGTCCTGCCCGATCTACTGTATTACCACAGACCAGCCGTTAACGATCTGTCCGTCACGGACTGCGTGACTTCGCCTGTGCACATTTTTTATTTTTATTTTTTTACTGCGACTAATAAAATTTTGGTCGAGCAAGCCTCTTCTGTTCGGCTAACGGTTAGGGGGCAGCCCTAGTGTATCGAGCTCTTGTTTGGTGATATCAGGTCTCACGTTTGGTCCTGTCGCTGTAGAGCTGGACGTGAACCTGCAGGAGTGTGTGCAGATTTTAGACGGCTACATCTCTGACCTGCGGCGATACATGAAGAAGTTCCCCTGGCCGCATGCCTCCGTGAGTCTGAGCGCTGCTGTGTCCATCACCGACACGGACCAGCACTGGCAGTCGCTGTCTGATGAGGTCAGTCCGTAAACACACTGGACACCAGCAATGCATCATGGATCTTAGCACACGGATGTGTTTGTGTTGGACTCGCTTGCTTTCTTGCTTTCTTTCTTGTTTTCTTTCGCTTTCTTTTGCTTTCGTTCTTTCGCTTTCTTGCTTTCTTTTGCTTTCTTTTGCTTTCTTTTGCTTGCTTTCGCTTTCTTGTTTTCTTTCTTTCGCTTTCTTTCTTTCGCTTTTTCTTTCTCTTTCTTTCTTTCTTTCTTTCGCTTTCTTTTCTTTCTTTCGCTTTCTTTCTTTCGCTTTTTCTTTCTCTTTCTTTCTTTCTTTCTTTCGCTTTCTTTTCTTTCTTTCGCTTTCTTTCTTTCTTTCGCTTTCTCTTTCTTTCACTTTCTTTCTCTTTCTTTCTCTTTCTCTTTCTTTCTTTCGCTTTTTCTTTCTCTTTCTTTCTTTCTTTCTTTCGCTTTCTTTTCTTTCTTTCGCTTTCTTTCACTTTCTTTCTTTCTCTTTCTTTCTGTTTCTTTCTCTTTCTTTCGCTTTCTTTCTCTTTCTTTCGCTTTCTCTTTCTTTCTGTTTCTTTCTCTTTCTTTCTTCTTTCTTTCTTTCTTTCTTTTTTCTTTCTCTTTCTCTTTTCTTTCTTTCTTTCTCTTTCTTTCTCTTTCTCTTTCTTTGTTTCGCTTTCACTTTCTTTCTGTTTCTTTCTCTTTCTTTCTTCTTTCTTTCTTTCTTTCTTTTTTCTTTCTCTTTCTCTTTTCTTTCTTTCTTTCTCTTTCTTTCGCTTTCTCTTTCTTTGTTTCGCTTTCTTTCACTTTCTTTCTGTTTTTTTCTCTTTCTGTTTCTTTCTGTTTCTTTCTCTTTCTTTCTTTCTTCTTTCTTTCTTTCTTTCTTTTTTCTTTCTCTTTCTTTCTGTTTCTTTCACTTTCTTTCTGTTTCTTTCTCTTTCTTTCTGTTTCTTTCTTTCTTTCGCTTTCTTTCACTTTCTTTCTCTTTCTCTTTCTTTCTTTCGCTTTCTCTTTCTGTTTCGCTTTCTTTCACTTTCTTTCTGTTTTTTTCTCTTTCTGTTTCTTTCTGTTTCTTTCTCTTTCTTTCTTTCTTCTTTCTTTCTTTCTTTCTTTTTTCTTTCTCTTTCTCTTTTCTTTCTTTCTTTTTTCTTTCTCTTTTCTTTCTTTCTTTCTTTCTTTCTTTCTTTCTTTCTTTCCCAGCAGAATCGCAAAGTAGACTAAGCAAATCAACGAGTGAATTACCCACTGCTTTAAAACAGATATCCGTTGGACATGATTCAAGTTCTCCGACTCTCTCTATCTCTCCCCCTCTCTCTGTGTGTGTGTGTGTGTGTGTGTGTGTGTGTGTGTGTGTGTGTGTGTGTGTGTGTGTGTGTGTGTG